AAACAGCCTTCCGCATCACCTCAATCCTCTGAGCTAAATGAAACACAACTGCTTTGGGGAAAATAGTATGTGATCACATAATTAAAGACTGCATCACAATACATATACACAAAGGAAGTTAATTAAAGTTGCCTGTGCATTTCTTAACTCTTAGTTCCATTCTCTGTAATCACGCTGACTCCATAACCACAGCCATTTGAGTTTACAGAGTGAACGACAGCTACAGTAAATTTCCATTCTTTATGTGGAACAGTCATTAAAGGAGAGTAAGATGAACATTTTACCACCAGCCTTTGCAGATATTTGCTGACAGCAGAGCTATGCTGGATTCAAGAATTACGGATTCCACTCCATTTTCTCCAAGTGAGGGCTCCTTGCTGGAAAGACCTTTTAGCCCCGTGACTCCTGAATATTTCCCACTTGTTGTGGTCCCCTCTAGCCTGCCACTTTGCCAGTTAGGTTGCACAGACCAGCTCTGGTCTCCTCGCCTTTCCAACATCTCATTCCAGCCAAGCTGCCACTGTTAACAACCATCACTACAAGTTTACATTTTACAGCATCTGGTGGGAGCAGATATGTCCCTTCTAGCCCTGTGATACTCATAATGAGAAAAGGTGAGTTAAATAAAAATGAGTAAGCTAATAAAAAAGCTCTCCTGGTTAAAAGCTAAGTGATTACAGCTGCTACACCGGATTGGAAATGACAGAAGCATGTTGTAAAAGACTCACTACATGCACACCTACAAGAAAGCAAGGAGAAAAGCTGAGCTGTTTATAAATCTGCCACAGAGAAAGGGATCCACGAGGGGATCAGTAACTCTGTTCACAGAGCTCTTAAGCTATTTCTTCAAGTCTCCAAAAGGCTGTATCAATTTTAAGGACATATCTATGATCCTCCCAAACCATGAGCATGTTTTTCAAGGAGTTTCTGATCAACGCAATCTCTTCTTAAACTTCAAATGCCTGCCTACAGGCTTACATACCTCCATACAGGCTAGCACAAATACAGCTTGCAGATGGAAGGTTTCTGAAAAGCACCAAATGAAGAGACCTAACAGTGAAAAAACTTCTACCACGCTGCAAGTCGGGAAGAAGTGGGAGAACAGAAAAGGGGCTAAAGTGACACAAACAAAGAAGCAAGCAGAGAATGACGGGACTAAATCAGGTGGGTTGAACTGGAATGGAAGATGATGGGGTAGAAGGCACAGAGGAAAGATATCCGAGAAGAAAGAGTAAAGAGAGAGGTTATTAAGAAAGAAAAGTTAAAAAGGAGAAAAAGGGAAGCTGAAATGGCCAGGGCAGACAGCTGAAATACAGTCTGAGAGGCAGGAAAGAACAAGACGACACAAACTGAAGAAGGGGAAGAGGATTCAGCTGTGGATGCAATGAGAAATACGTGATTCAGAGGAAAATGGGATTGAGTTAACAGTATATGAGCAAATTCAGTGCCTTAATCTTCTTCTCTCACAATTTCATCAATTTCTCAGTTAAAAAGAAAAAAAAAAAAAAGTAAAGCAGGTGAGAATACTGACATATGCCTAATCCCAGAGCACAAACATGAGAAGCTGGAAGCATCTTACTGTAGGAAAGGAGACTCAAGAAAAAGGGGTAAATAGCCAAGAGAATGGACGTATCATTGGAAAAAAGTCAGTACTTCATGAGAGGCTAGTTATTGGTCAATAAAGAGACAACAGAGATTTTAAAAAAAATGAAATAAAATTGAGAAAAAACAAAAAAAGAAACGTAAGCCCAGAGTACATGACTACTGAAAGAAATAACACAATATTGGTTCTGTGAGAGGAAGGGTAATGTTTAGGCTGAAAAAGTTCTAAGGTATTTGCTCTAGCTTAGAGAAGAAACAGGAACACCTTTTTTTTTTTTCAAAAAAGACACTTAACAAAACAAATCAGGTGAGCACATACCAAGTAACTTGCATTTATGACCACCGAACAGACTTGGAAATTTCCTCCCTTTTGTTGACCTCAAGCAGCAATACAACCCCATGCACTGTGTATTGTTCTCACTTGTTTACTAAGAAAACAGTGATTCATAGTTCTCAAATGGCACATGCAAAGTGGTAACAGCAAGGCCTATGAGACAAGATTTTCAAAAGTAACTAATGACTCTGCAGGTTTAGCTTAGCTGGAGTGACTGATTTTCAGAGGACACACTGAACGACTAGACTGCTTAAAGCTCTTTTCATGAGGTATCAAAAAAGGTGCAATTGCAAACTTCAAGAGTTATGTTTGAAAGTATTGGCCCTGGACTATTTCTTCAAAGTTTTCTTATTTAAAATTAGATCTTCCTATTTTAAACCATTTTCTTTTGAATCCCTCTCAATCGACCGCAAAAAAAAAAAAAAAAAAAAAAAAAAGAGCCTAGTCCCACTTCCACTACTAAATACTGATTCTCATTATCATAGCTCTCATTTGGATAACACACTAGTACATATTACCACACACGGACACATGCAACACTGCTTTGAGTCAAAGTTCCTATTATTAACCTTAATAACCAGTAAACACTGAATAGAAACAAGTCTGTACTATTCTCTAACAGTCAAGTAATGACTTGGAGTAAACTGGTACAACTACATCAAATGGAAATGTCTCATCTCTATGAAGACCAAATATGTTAAACAGGAATCAATGTCTTTTATCTTATATCTACACATGTTGATGCATACTTTACCCTCATCATTCTCTGTCTGCCCTACACCTTGTTTAAAATACACTATTTAAACTTTTCTCTGAACACAGAATTATTATTTTCTTCCAGAGCATTTCTGTGTCACTCTTCACTATCACACCTAAGAGTTTCCAAATTACATCTCCACAACACCCTTCTGAGCTGAGGAGCTTTTGTTACTGTTACGTTACAGTCAGCTCAAGTCAAGGGTGGCCATTACCTGCTCGCTCAGAGCACCCAGGATTTCAGAGGGGTTGGGACCATTTGTTCACAGCATGGTTTTCCTTGACTTGACTACATCTGGGTGCATTCAAAACTTCCAGAAATCAGTCCCCAAGAATCTTGGGTTGGAAATCAGAAATCAAGGAATCTGCAGCCTTGAGCATTTTGGGTTGAAGGTACCTTCCCAGCATTGTAAAGAGCTTCTGATGGAGGCAGCAAGAAACTTTGTCTCTGCAGAGTGGCCCTAAAAGACTGCCCTTCCCTTTCCTGTGGGCTCCTAATTAATTTTTCAGCTTTTGTAATAAATGAAATAAGGTCACATGGGTAATCTGGCTGCCTGAACGATGCAATCCTGACTCTCACCCTGAAAACTGTGTCCCCATCTCCTGTCGTTCAGGTGGTCTTCGTTTTTGTTTAACTTCACATTGCCATCTACCTCTTTGCCATCTACGTGAGGCATCTCTCCTCTGCATGCCAGCGCAGTAGCTCCTTTTCCTCCTGTTTGGATTTCACCAGCAGGAGTTTGAGTCTAAAAGAGAAAGTTTTGCTTTCCAATACTACAATCTGCATCAGAATGGGCCCTGCTCTTTAGGAGAGCAATGGTAAAAGGTGCTCTTGCTGTGCTGTGTCCATGCAGACAATTTTTACTGACACTTACCAACTTTTCTGAACTTTAAGGCTCTCTGACAAGATTGTGCTATTAACACAACTTTGACTGTTTTGAACAGATTTTTCAAGGGGATGGAATCTTCTTCCCATATGACATTTTTTAACATGGGTAAACCAATGCTTTATCCAATCTAACACAAAGAAACAGTTGAACAGGGTTTTTTTGAAGTAAGAACAAATTACCCTGAGGCAGAGCACTGACAGGGAAAATCTCAGCTCAAACAATGAAATACAAAGTTGTAAAACCTTTGAAAATAGGAGCTTGTATTAAAAAATGTTGGGTAACTTTAGTTACAGTTGTTCCTGCCTGAGTATCCTACAGTATCCCCCCTCTAACGCTGTTTCCTTTATGAAAAACTAATTAAAAAAAAAATAAAACCAAAGTGAAATTTATACTAAAATACACTTATCTAGGAAAAACTTAAATACGAAGTAATAAAAAATAGCTTATATACTTATATATCATTATGTTATCATTATACGAATAAGACTTGTCTGCATATGTTAATATATTTTGAAGAAAAAAAGAAGTCTCAATTTGGGGAGAGGAATTGTTAAGCAAAAAAAAAAAAAAAGTACAGCATGGATCCAAGACAGTTAAGAGAATGAAATGATACATGTAAATCACTGCCTTCATTTTTCGATTGTATGATCCCATTTATATAAAAAGCAGAATCTGCCCCTCAGTACTAGGCTCTGAAAGCCGTGAATCGGTAAAGAGTCAAGCCTTTCTCTGTATCACTAATTTTCAGTTACATTTACATTCTCTAGTTGCCAGTACAGTCTCTAATGTGCAATAGTTAGAATCACAAAACCCGCATTCCAAAGGTTTGCATAAAAATTAATTAGCTTTCTTCTCCAGAGAGTATGCATCCTTCCAGGTCACTACGGAGGCCTCTGGAGGTGCAACCATAGATGCTTCAACACTGGAGCTCATTCCCCAACTCCACTTTCCCATCTCACCAGCATAATCAACTTTGGTGACAAAAAGGAATTGTTCCACCAACTCCTTTACAAGACTGTCACAAGCAGCCTCATTCACTGCAACAACACTTATGAAGTAGCAAGTAGTTGACATCACAGGCATTTACATTGACTGAAAAAAGAGAAGTAATCAAAAATAGCATAAATTACTCTGCTATCATTTAACAAGTAACTTTTGTTTTTCATCCCATTAGAAACTGCAGTGGCAATCAAAGACAGTGCTCCCAGACCTCTGCTTCCAGTGAAGTCTGAGCCATCTTTCTGTGGGCCATAGCAGCGGGAGAAACAGGCTTTAAAAGTGAACTAAGGGTACATGACACATCAGAGCAACTCAGCGTGGAAAAGAAATATTCTGCAAGGACATGCTCCCCACAAAAGCAGATGGACATACAATAAATTTTAAATATGTAAACTGCCATACTGGCCAATATTTCTTACATCATTCAGCTGCTTATTGCGTGCTGGGATGATTGTACTGGTTAGTTGCTTATTCCCTGCCTTTAGAGCTGCATCTCTTCGTGCTTGCTCAAGCAGAACTCTTGCTCGTTCTTTAAGTTCTTCCTGTCTTGACAACATTCGTTGCTTAAAAATAAAAAAAATAATTAACAGTAAGGCAGCCTCAGGGTACTTAACGTTTATACAATAGTTAATAGCCAAGAGCCTTCCTATATAATAAAGGTCAAGAGTCACACGGATTACAGTTTCATGAGGTGACAGAGCATTCTATAGAAATGAAAAGTAAAGATGATCAAAATGTAAAATTAAAAAGAAGTCATAGGCCTTTATAATGTAAATAAGAGCTTTCTCTCCTCCCCTTAAAACTTAATTTCTATCAACATTTAACGCCTTTAAACTGCAACTGTGGAAAAAAAAATAATTGGCTTAATGGAAGCTATGTTAAATGTGCTATGTGTTTACTTATTTACTTTAATATGTATGCAAATATAATGCTTCGTTGGCTACTTATATGGGTATCATTCATTCAAAAGTTAAATTGAACACAAAGAGGCTGGGTACAAGGCAAAAGACATGCAAAAATATCTGTTTCCACTTCAGTTATGAATATCCACCAGAAAATTCCTTCTTCATACACATGACCAATTATATTGCAGAGTAGAAATAACCAAAGAGGGATTTCTGCATAGGCAACATGAGCTCCCGTACATATATACTCCCAAGCACCGACTTCTCTGTCAAGGTCAACCGTGAAGACTCTGGGAAAACGTGTCTCTAGGCCTTTACATGAAGTAGAGCTGGAATAGATGTTGCAGGTTATGCTCCTGCAACAGCCACGTGGAAATTGAGATGGTTGACTCTAACCATCAGTTGAGTGTTCAAGGTTAAGATTGAGGCTCACATCTGAGATTTCGTTACCATGTGCAGTTGCACAGACAACTAACAGAGAACTGTCCTTAAAGTAATCTCTTTCTTTTTCTTGGCCTATAACATCCTTGCGCATGAAAACCTCCATGGAGAAGACATCCTGTCTCCTCCTGCTCTGTTATTCTGTATTGGCCAAACTATTCCTTTCTCATCCAGTACACAAAGATGATGATGAAATTTAATGACACTTCACTGCTTAAAGGAAGTAATATTTGGCCACTATCACCCATCCATGGGCTGCTTCTCTTGCAATAAAATGAATCCTTATGGCACTTACTCAGGAAAAAACATAAAAATATTTGAAGCAATTCATACTACCAAAAGACTGGCTATATTCTTTCTTACCAGAGATAGAGGCACAAAGCCGAACAAAATCAAAACTCAAGAAAGATCTTCATAGGGTAAAAATTATAAGCATGCTTTGGCATTTTTGTAAATGGGGCTGATAGCATTTTTACATATTTTTGTGATGAAACTATTTACTGATAATACTCAGCATTTATATAATATTCATCTTTCATCCCCACAGTAAATCTGCAAGGTAGGCGGGCATATCCTTTTTATCTTCACGGAAAGGAAAATGATATTGTGGTTAAGTAACATGCGTGAGGCCACGCAATGAACACCATAACTTAGTATTCTGGAGTTTCTGCCTCATCATTGTGGGTTATGTTCACAAGGCTGTGTTGTTTCTCAGATAATATTTGGAAATATGTTTGGTATGTTTCAAGGTATTCAAAAACTTTACATTTTTTGAATTCATAAGTCTTTTTCCAGTTATTGCTTCAGTATACAATACTCAGAAGAAAGGTGGCAAGAGCCTTGAAGCCATCTTTGAGCTGCTTGAGAATATGATGTTACTTCCTTTAACTGGAGAGAGATCGGAAAATTAACAGTAGAACAATTCCTATAAATGAATTTTTCATGTAATGGCTCTTTTTCAGCATCACCTACTGTCAGGCAAAGTATTTATTGCCCAGCAATAAAAATACACCACCCACTTTGCCATTTATACTGAAGATATGATGTAAATTACAAACATAGAGAAAGAACTTGAAGAGCATCTCCATCCTGACTCACAGGCATACAGAAAGCTTAAATTTCTTACCTGGGCTGTTTTTGCAGTTTGATCTGCATGATTTAAAGCTGTTCTGGCATCATTGTCAGAATCAGATTCTGTTTGCCTCGGAGAAGCTTGAGGCTTCTTTGCAAGATCCATATCCTTGTTATAGGAGTATCCAAGCTTAGAAGTAGGAGATAAATTCGGCCTTGTGACAGGTGAACCAGGATCAGCTCTTGTGCTCTCTACGGATCCTATACGTCCCAGCTTTTCTTGTTCTGAGAAACCAATGGTACTGTCTGAGCTCTGGTGTCTCTTCCTGTCACTATCTTCACAAGCTACTGTGGGAGACACATCCTCTTTTTGATCACTGACATGTGCCAAGTCACTCAAGTCTAAGGTGTCAGCTATCAGTAATTTCTTCCTTCCCAACGTAGGCTGCGCTTGCATTGTATCTGTACTGCTACACTTCCCAACATCTTCAGATGCAGAAGTCCTTCCAGAGCTCTGCTGGGATTTTTGTGGATCTGTGTCACTTCGAGTTCTGCGAGAAGAAGGGGAAGCTGTGCTTGGGCTTAAATGGTCATCAGGAGTCTGATGCTCACTCTCAGATTCGCCAACACCACTGTCATTGACAAATACGGAGTCATCCTGAGAAGCAAAGTCTGCCAAAGCACTGTCTGGCGGCTGCAGCTCGGGCTCCCGGTTCAGGTCATTTAACTCCGCGTAGAATTTTTCCTGGTCGACAGAACTATTTGGGTCTGTTTCATAGTTACCCACTTTATATGTGCTTTTACTACTGTTCTCCTCTATTTGAACCACATTTAATTCTTGGCCACAGAAATGTGCCCTTATTTGATAGAGATAGGTCATAACAGTCAGTTTGTCAGGTATCGCTAATAAAACCATGTCAGAAGGTTCCAGCAACCGTGATATTCCTAAACTGGCAAAACCATCATAGGCCTTTAAAAAAAACAGAATAAAGATTACAATGCAGCAGTTTCTTATGTATAACATTTCAAGAATGCAAGAAGTTTCGGTCAAAATAAGTAAGCATAAAACATACTCAATATTATAGCAACAGTGTAGGTTCAACTTATTATTACTTACTACTGTTTTGGTTTAATTACAGTAGTTACTATTTTTTGTTGCACAATCCACTCACTGATTTTTCACAATGGATTCTAGATATCTCCCAGGGTATCTTCATAGCAATACAAAACAAGAGAATATGACCAATAAAGACACTTAAATGGCATTGTTTTAAATATTTTTAACATACTACCGTACTATAATAAAATCTTCGGTTACTCAAAATTATGCCACTTCCATGAATAAAAAGATGTTAATGGAACTGCAACTTAAAAGCCCGTCTGTTTGCACTAAGAAAACCTACTAATATCTTAAATGGTTCTCACCCACATAGCAGGAAACAAGCAAATTAAAAAAAAAAGTATAAGAGTTGGACCTGAAAAAAGCAACTAAGGATAGCTTTTTAAGATAAGGAACAAAGATATAAGAAACACGACACTAATCCATCTTGGGCTTTATCACTGGTGATCAACCTTCTCCCTTCTATTGGTCATGTAATTGCTGTGATTTGTGTTGTTGAAAAACTACGTCCAGATCGCCAAAAAAACCACCACCACAGATCACTGGACACAAGACATAAATCACATTAATCCAGCAAACAAATGCATTTTAAAAACATTTGTTGATGCTAAATTTATAAGAAAGAGAGACTGAATTTCATTCCCACTTCACTTGCATTTCTAAAAGCTAAACAGTTCGCAAGCCTCTCACTTTGTGAGCCCAAGTTGTCTTCTTTCTGCTAGCCCTTTAAGAGAGTGGGCTTGGTACATCAGGTTTTTCTAGTTTTGAAGAATTAAAGCTGTTTCTCAATTTACAATTAATTATTACTATCCTGGATTAACCCTGGAAGACAATACTGTGTTTCAAGAAAGCCTTTAAAAAGACCTCCTGTTAGTATAGATGCACTCGGTTAAAGCACTCAAACTTTTCCTCCCCAGTAATTCTGCAGCTCCTTTTCCCCCTCTTCTGAAAGTGGAATAAAATGTTCACAGTTGTTCCTACAGTGTTTTGAACAAAAACAGATGCTAAACTTAAGACACGGACGAAAACCTGTCCTTTCACAAGAAAACAATAACACACATCGCTGGCTTCAATTCTACCCCAGTTTTACACTATTTCCTAAATACATATAATTTTAGAAGAGTGCAGGAAAGAAAGAAAAGAGAAATCAATAATGACTTTTTTATCCTCTTGGTTTTCATGCTAGCAAATATTCAAAGGTTAGTTAGAATGTGGGTCTGGCCTGGCTGGCTGCTGGCAGTCCTGGTTATTCTACTTGCTCTGAGAAAAGGAGGCTTTCTCATATCTGTTGCAACGTGCTGGAGTCATTCCCTACTCAACGGTCAAATAGTTTTCATTTCAGCCACTTTTCAAACTCTGCTTCTGAGACGTAGAATTTATATCCTGAAATTTTGTATGCTTTCCCTCATGCTCAGGTGTAACTAGTCAAAACATTTTTTGTGAAGTAATTTTTATATTGCTATATCAAATGATTCACAGAGTTTATCTAGACATAAAAATTATTGGAACAATTTATTTTTAAGACCTGGCTCTCCCTGTGCAAAACAATTTGTCCTAAAATCATTGCTGTTTTTTCTGGGGTATCATTTCTTGGGAAGGTTTATTATGAGAGATTGTTATGCCATTTATAAACACAGAGCTGTATAGGAGTAGCAGTGGAAAACATAAATGTTGTATTGGCTGATACAAAGCCCCAGACAGAGCAAAACAGCAGAAAAAATGATGGGTGGGAGGGAATGGAAAGAACTCAGATGGTAGAAGAGGGACAGGTGTCATTTACCTGGTCTTGGGCCACAGAGCTGGAGGAGCAGGATCAATCAGGATACAGAGGAGAAGGAGACAAGAGAGGCGGAAACAAACAGACACAAGGAGCACAGAGAAAGGAGAGTTAAAGGAAAACAGAGCAGGGATTCAGGTGGGCAGCCTAAAGCCATGGCAGGTACCGGGAATAATGAATGCTCATATGCCAGCAGAAAACAGGCTGGGCATGAAAGTGTAGCAAGCCAGTGGTGTCCTGTGGATCAAAGGTAACACCAGGATTTGTTGTTTGATTAAGTGGGTCAGTGCTGATGTGGTGGCATAAATAACCTGTTACCCACGCTGAAGCTAGTGGGAGTTACCATATGAAGAATGAAAGGAGCTAAGGTTGGGCTTAGTAGTCCATGGCAGCCAAAGCCCATAGACATGACTTGACCTGAACTCTTCTATACTTTTAATTTCTTATTTATATGCTAATAAAACTAAATCCTAGGAATATCTCCCAGTGTCTGTAAAATGAAAGTGGGGACAGTGTTTCAGAGCTGTCAGGAAAGGCACTTTGATAGAACGGGTAATGCTACAGCAGAAGGACTGAATTTGGAACGATGGATATTCTCGATACAGCTGCAATCACTTTTTGTTGTCTGTTTGGTTCATCTGGTGATGCTCGGGACTAAATTCAATAGCCTTCCACTGATGCCAGATACTTATTTCCCATCCCCTCTCCTTCTCATTCTGGACAATACACATTCTTGCTTCTCTGCTTTTAAAGTATGCTAGATACCTAGATTGGCACAGAAATGTTTTACAGTCATTAGTTCTACAAATAGCAACTGTATGTTCTGTATGTGTCCATACAGCAGTGTGTGACGAGTTCTCCTTCACTGCTAGAAAAGCTGGGAGCTTCTTGCTATTCCAGTATATTTATAAATGCCTAGTGTTTCTAACTAGTTTGTAACTAGTTTGTAACATGGGTATTAACAGAGTAAATTTTCCAAGTCAAATTACTTTTTGTTAAACAGAGGCATAGCTAAGCATTGATCTTGCAAATGTTTATAACACATGTTTAACAAAGCTCCTTCAGGATCCTACCGAGGTCAACAAGCAACTCCCACATACAATTCAATACGTGCTTATGATTTTGTGGAATCAAATAGTACTCCTGTTATAAATATATGGCTGCTAGCTTAAAGGTAAGGATTTTTTTTCCATTTTCATTCAATGCCATCCCTGTAATTCTGAATTCTTCTACTTCAATGTATATTTTAAAATTATTCCTTCCTTGGAAACTGGAATATTTTGTCAAGACAATCGCTTGAGTTCAAATGTATTGAGGAATTTAGTAGAAATGGTCAAAAACTGTAGGAAAGAAAAAAAAAAAGGCATCACAAAAATTGAAAGTGCCAACTGAACATCCAGAAGATATGACACTATTTCACACAATAATCCCTCAAATGAAACAAGCTTCTCTAAACAATAAAGTAATTAACACCAGAAGTTCATTAGTAGAACCATACTGTTGTGCCCTTCCACTTCTCGCCCTTTCATCCCCTCCAAGCTCCAGCCAAGTGTAGTTTAGTAGCTTACATTTTTAAAGTGCAGGATGTGTTACTAGCAATATGAAAAATGTATATCTTTGATAAGGGACTACACTGTCAGTCTGCTGTAATTTTAACACATGTTCATAATGTTCATTACAATCAAATGGACATAGTAAGTCAAAGTAGTTAACATTACTGGAAAGGCTATCTGGATACTTAGACATATATGAGATTTCAGTGGAACCACAACTCTTTGCATCAGCTGGGACAGTATCTCTGAAATGTTTCTAATCTTCTCAGAGATAATCCTGGTTTCTCTTTTGTTCCTGAGAGAAACTTGAATTTGCAATGGGCATTATGCACCAAAAATATCTTAGAATTCTGACTGATGCTAATGTAATCTGGAGTAGTTGTTTCAGGTTTTGGGGGAGTCTTGTAAGAGAGAGAATGATATTGTGGAAATTACAATACATACAGACACACACACATGTATGTATATTCAGGACACTAAACCTATATACCTATCTCCTAATGAAGGTTCTTTTTTTTTCTTTTTTAATTTAGTGACAAGCTGATTGACAGACATCAATTGGGATCCATCAGCACAAGCACCACAGGCAGTATTCCAACCATTTCCCAACTATGTAACACACTGACATATTGGCCAAGATCAGATGTCACAGGTAAATACCCTTTTTTATTCAGCATCAGTGGCAGCACCCATTTGACAAATGACTAGTGTGTGTTATAAAGAAGCTCCAAGGAGGTGCCTTTTGTAACAGTGCATTCCCATGTGCAATTATACACAGTAACTGCACTGAAATAGTTGTCTCATAAGATTTATTTTTTTTTATTAAAATACAAACAAGGTCATGCACTTCTAAAAGATATACTCTTACGGGTTAATCTTTAATCTATGGACACAGTCACCTCTTACCTCCTTTTTGGGAAGGGGGGTGGGGGGAGAGAAGATGGGGGGAGAGAAAGAGATGCTTCAGACAAAGAAAATTGTCCTATTCATCCAGAGATGTTATTTTAATTGGTTAGGAGGACTCATTGTCAAATACGTTACATATCTGCATGGAATTTATAGGCAGCCATTGTTGCCAGTGCTGCATTCATTCCAACCAAGGGCACGCGGGGTTATCGGGCAGAACTGTGTGAGACCAGGAAATAAATCTGCAGGAAGCAACTGAGATACTCAATGTAGCTGTCAGGCGAAGGCTTGCAAAGTGATGAAAGAAAAAAACTGCACAATAACAACAATCATTACTTCTTCAATCCTGGGAACTATATCCTGTTAGAGAGACGGGCTAAAAAGTTCACCATTTGCCATCACAGTTTCATAAAGAAAAGATGACTGATTGTCCTGCTAACATTTTTAATTAATAATCTATTCTTTCTTTTTTATAATCCGGCTTAATTAGCCCAGACGCTCAACAAAACTTGAAGTACAAAAACATACGGTCGCAGAAAACACTGCGATGTCACGGATAATCCACTTAGCTCATCGTAAGACCCTGTATTATTATGAAAAAGATATCATTGGCAAAATCACTCATTAGCTAACAGCAGCTCAGAGATATTTCACTATAATACTTAAATACTTTTTTAAAGACAAGTAACTCCTGGCTAACATATAAGTGTGCAGGCACATTAAAATATCATTACCCTAAAGACAAATGAATTTTAATAAAGCACTATCAGAAATTCCACATATCTACAATCTAATATTATTTAGTTATATTTGCTATATAATATTGAACCTAATTAATTTATTGAAAGTATATTTTCATACCTTCATCACAATTAAATTAAGTGCTTTTAAAGCTTTATTATAAAAATAAAATCACAGCATTGGGAAGGCAGCTACTTAAAAACAATTTTCAGATGCTCTACGGGAACAATTCTATTATCAGTAACTCACATGAAAATTATAATATTCAAACATGTCCCTAGGGCTCAACCAAGGATTGTGACACGTCTAAAATAATGAGCAGAAATAAAAAGTCTTCTAGCGATTCCCAAACTGAGTTCCTGTATCTTCCAGAGAAACTTTTTCTATCTTTGCATTACAAAGGTACAAAGAGTAGTTTAATACAGCTGCCCAGAACAATGCTATAAACCATTTTGCTAATATTTTGCTTTATTTACAAAGTGTTGTCTTAGCAGTTTTTATCCTAAACTTTGTGTTGCAGAAAAATTCAGATTCTACACCTACCACTTCAGTCAGCTGCACAGTATAAAAGTAGGTGTAAAATTTAATCTTTAAAAATACAAAAATCACTGTCAAAGCAACATGGACCACAACTGATGCACGAAGCCCCATTAAAGCAACAGAAATAGAAGTCTTGCATATGATAATCCAAGAGCAGTTATGTGTTTGTTTTTTTTTTTTTAATTACGTGGCTGATTAGAAAAATCAGAGGAGTGATCACAGAAGGCTGGCCAGCCCTCTCCTCTGTTTTCACAGTTAATGTAGGCCATACAAATATGAAACTCTAATGCCAGCCTTGCATTTGTTGTGAATGTTAAGGACCATGTCAAATGAGAGTCAATAATGCATCCGATTTGAACCGCAGGAGGTCGAATACCTTCTGTGAGCTGCAGTTATGACCTTACAAAACAACCACACTTTCCCAAAATTAATAAAAACCTGCAGTGAAGCCAAAATTGAAGCTACATCTTTCAGTTGTTAGCCAGTTCTTACCTTTTTGTTGTTCTCTTTAATATCTTGAGGATTCAGGGACTTGTAGTCACTGAGGGAGAAAATGGCACAGTGGGTATGTACAGTATTTGATAAAAGCAGCAGTTTTAAAAGAAACTGAATCTAAAAATTTGACATACAATAATATCATACAGTAACTAGCAATTTCACAGCAATTCAATCAACAAAACGAATAGTGTGGAAAATTAAAGGAATAAATAAATAATTAAACAAACAAACACCGATTACATATTTCACTGCCTGAAGCTTTCCATCTAAAAAAGAAGTTAAGGCAGGGACTAGAGGCTGGCCTTGACAACCAAATTTACCAGGAGGTAATCCGTCCTTGTCAGCATACAAAGAGCTACAGGCTTATTCCTCTCATCTCATTTCAACACTGGCACGATTTTCATAATCATCTTGAAGTCAGTTCTTTGTATAAGATTAAGAAGAATAAAAAAAAATCATAGAGAAGGGAGAAACAATTGTTTATGCAACATGGGAGAGCAGAGAGGTCATAAAGCTTGAGCATTCATAAATTTGTTTTCTTAGAAAGGATGGTTCCCTTCTTGAAAGGAAAATGTAAAAACAGTTCAACACCTGAAGCGAACAGGGATTTCATTTTTACATAAACTTAACTGTTATATATTTCTATGAGAGTTAGCTTATGCAGGCAAAGAGTATACAACTTACATTAGATCTGGTCTAAAGTGATGTAATATTGCACAAAACGATAAACCGTTTCTCCACGATGTAGTAAAATTGGTGATTTTCACTCCCCTATAGTTTTTTGTAACTTCTTTGCACCACACAAGCAGTGACTGACTAGCGTTTGGCTTTCTCCCCAAAACAGGACTTGGGATTGGGCTTGGCTGGAGGAAAAAAAAAAAAAAAAGAAAAAAAAAAAGAGAGAGAAGATAAAAAAGAGAAGATAAAAGAATTTAATGGAAGATGAGAATTAACATTAATTGACCTAACTAGATGATCTGTATCCTTTGATGTGAGTTTAGGTCCTTCACAGCTGTCAGTTTACAATGACTGTAACTCGCAAAAGACACAAATTGCAAGTTATTATCTCCAGTCGTCGCCCTTGGCACTTGTCTCCAAAGGATGTAGATGTACAGGATTCCAGATCTACATAGGAGAACAGGCCAAGAACTGAACCAGTGGAAACACCATGCTTAAATATGTCCCGCATATAAATTGTATTTTTTTGTGCATAGTCCTGCACAGCCCGTGATATACACCCTTGAAAAGATTTCCCAAAATGCAGCCATGGAAAAGCATCCCCACAAGCCCTTTCACTTTCAATGAAGATAACACTGCGACTGGATCAGAAGCCAGGCATTGGCAGGGGCACAGTTTACCGCGAGTTGCGATCTACTTTTGAGGCATGGGGATCAAAGTTGCTGCATCTGCAACATGTGATTCATGCATTAATCTCGTACACGCTCCAGAATAAAGTTTTCGGCTGCACTCTTCCTGTTTGAGCGCATGATTGCATAAAGGTAATTACAGCACGGTGTTTATTATCAGCCACTTCCAACCATATCCAAAGAACTTCCTCTTCCAGGCTTTACTTTTTCTACGTGGAAAAGGCATTTCAGCCATAAATCAGAGGGCGTTTTCTAACAAGTATCATTATCTAATAACTACAATTTCCCAAAAGGGTATTTTGACACTTTTAGTAACATTTTTGTTAGCACAAACCAAGAATTAAAATGGAATAAAATATTTCAGGCATTTGGCATTTGTCAGACTGTCCACTGTTTCTCAGATTCAGCAGAAAACTTACTGATTGCAGCCGATGTTTTCAAAAAATACGCACTCATTTCACCAGAAAAATATCATCACTTGAAAAACTCTTAGGTGTAACTGAACAGACAGAATTTGACTGCCATAAATGCGAAGTCTGAATTATAGGGATTGCCCACATTTTTTCAGTGTAATATAATTGAAACGATATATACACAACAAACATGCTGTTTATTCACCTTATAGCTAGAGAGTTCCCAAATTAAGATAAAAATAGAGGAAGTAATTTACTATATCACAGCCACTTAAGTTTAACAAGTAAATCCTTTTGGCCATATTACCTATTTGTGAAAGACCAACGATGCCCCCACTTGACTGAAGTATGTCAGTGCGAAGCAATTAGCTGCTAGCTAACAACTGATTTATGTTTTCACTGCTTCTGGGGGGAAAAAAAGTACAGAAGAAGGAAAGTAATTTTTCATTTACCGTGACAGACAGCCCTAAAAAGTTGTTTTATAAACAAACCTATCTCATCATCAGATAGAAGCACTGCCAACTCATTTAGAAAGTGCAAGATGCCTACCTTGCTGAGATTTTTTTAAAATACTGGATCGCCTGTACAAAATCACTTGTTAAAAAGTGTTCTAATTTTTTTTAATCCTGTCAATGATTCAAATCAGCATGAACAAATCCGTTAGTGATGAGACAAATATCTCTAACTACACTAAATTAACATCTTAATGGAAATATAAAAAATAGGGAAGAAAAAGCAGCAATAAATGATAAACTTTCTTCACCATGCATTGGTTTTTAATCAGTCACAAAGATTGCTTAGGAGCTACCAGACAGTTACTTCAGATTCAGAGTGATGTAGCTAAGATGAGGTTTTTCTCCTATCTTTTCCAAATTGAAGCAAAAATCCGTAAATAACCACTGACCCCAGACGTAAGGTACTACATTATTTAAAATACATTTGATATCTAAATTATATAGATGGAAGTAACACTGCTGGGAGAAAATAATTAAAACAGCACTATCAAGATGCAGAAAAAAATGATAATTTAACAGATTTTTAAGGCACAGAGGTACTTCTTTGAACCACAGAGCACTACTTACCAAATATAGTAAATGTCAACTATGAAGTCTTAATACTTGTTGCTGAAACTCTCTACAGAGATGCTAAATGTTCCAGTCACCACCCAAATACTTTCTGGTTAACTCTGTAATGGCCTGAGGCAATATTACCATTCAAATGCCTTAATTACATATCTAACAAACTGAAAATGTAACAGATTTAAAAACTAGGTTTTAAAAGCTATTATATCAATAAATTTAGCAGAATTTTGCATTTTATTTACAAATTAACAATTTTTTAAAATCCTGATTACAATCCCTTGAAAATCTATACTGAAGATGGAACTTTTTCCCTATGTTTGTCCTTCCATTTACTTTAGTTTCTAACATTATTTTACCCAGAATGCGCAAGATTCAGCATGCACATGATGTACTTACAGTTTTCTTTCCTCTAGCTGATGAATCAGAAATTATATACATTATTCTTTCTAGATACAGTACTCCAAGTTTTTTGGATAAAGGTGAAGTTAACATTACTATAATACTATGCTGCTATTCACCGCCTGAGTCAAAGCTTTCACTATTTAATCTATGATAAAAGCATTCAACTCAAGACAGACTGGAGATATATAAATAATGGCCAAATTGCACATGTGCACTTGACACCCCTTCCACAGGGTTACCAAAAGTTACTTTTGATTTTTTTGTAAAACATCTTTATGAAAGGTATTTTCTTTCGGTACCTGTAGGCTGTACATATAAATTACAGCTTCAGTGCAAACACAGTTACTACCAAGTACCTATTTCTAGCCTATATTTGCTCTACAAGATTGGTAGTAACTGATTAAATGAAATGAAAATTTAATTAGCTCTTTCTTGCATAATTCTTTTAAGGACTAACTACACAATTCTTCTAAACCACATGGTAGCCATTATTTGGGTTTTGGAGTTCAAAAGTCAAAGTCCATAAGAATTCATTTGGAAATACTACTAAAAAGCAGGAGATATCCACAACAGATTGCCAGATCTGCTTGCTGATCAACAGGTTACTACATCCAATGTAACTGATTTTTATCCAGCTGTGGATTAACTGCATGGAAAGTGCAGAGGTAACAGCTGGTCACTCAAATGCTAGCTCAGATCTAGATGCATTATGTGGGTAGATTTATCAGCTGTATTCAGGACTAGCTTCAGGACACCTTTGTTTCACAGTCAACAGAAGCACTGAAGTCTCTCTACATTATTCCTCAGTTATATGTTCTGGTAGCTTAATTAAGTTTTATAGAGTATGCATTTTTCCTCTTAGGACATCAACCCATCAGACCATCACTCTATGTTAACAGAGGAACATAGCTTTAAATATTAGGCTGCATCCCTGCATTTCAAAATATTTTAATAATTGTTTTGCTGCTCTCAGGAACACAGCACTAGGTGCACTGATGGTTTGCAAAGCAGGGGCTCAGCTGCACCTCTGACATACATAGGCCAACACACAGGAGAAGAAAATCAAGATGGGAACTGGTGATGGGAGCATGCGGCTATGAACCAAGCCCTCACAGGAGGCACAGGAAGCATCCACAATGAAGGCTGTAGGGGCTTTGTCTGAGCAACTCTCAAGAGCTTGTTGACAGGTTGCATGGGGGTGGAGGAGTCTGAAGAGAGCAAAAGACAGTGTCGAAGGCTGGAAGAGAAAGATGCTGAGAGAAGTAAGAGAAAAAAGTATGTAACAGCTGTGGGAACCTAGGTGGAAGGCTTACCTGGTTTGAGCATTGTATTGTATTTATGTTAATGAGCACAACTCCCTAAAGAGGAAAGGGCTTGAGAGAACAACCTAGGAAAAGTAATCAACTGCAGGAGGAGAGGACATTGAGATAGGGCTGAAAGTTAGAACAGGGAAGACCTACAAACAACCAACAAACAAGTTACGTTCCTCAAGAAGCAAGTATAGGCAATGGTCTCCTACTTATTTGAGCAAAATAAAAGCGATTTTCTCTTATCCCTATCAAAACTACAATCCTGTCTATGCTCAATGAAAATTGTCAAACCATTAAAACACAAGATAAGGTAAATGAAAGTAACACATAACTGGGCGAGCCAGAATGTGCAGCACACAGCTGGATGAATAAAAAGTTTGGGAAGCAACGTAAACAAGACTCCAATATCTTTCAGCCAACTAGATAATTTTATATCATCAAGATGAGACTCTAGAATTTTATTTTTTAAACAACACAGGGCTCTACTCATAGGAATTGCTTAGCCTGGGAGTATTCTAAATTGAATATGGCTTATCTAAGATAATTTATGTCTTTGGCAAGGTCTGTATGTGTCCATCAGGCGTTCAATTTTGTTTATTGTAGAACAGTCAAGGCATAAGTCAAAAGCTGATTTTTAACTAGTACCAGGACTAAAATAGAATACCAAAATTGAGTCTTCAAAGACAGAAAAAACATCCTCATGACCCAGCTGTGCAGAGATGTTCTCTGTTTAGGCTAGTCAGTTATTTTTTAAGTAGCAAGTCACCATAACATTATGACGGCTCCAGTGATGCAACAAAATAAAAGTGTCATTGCACTTTGCTTCTGGTAAGGAAGCAAGTATTAGAAAATACACATTTCCCAGACAGAAATACTAAGAGTTACTCTGATAGACAAACTTATCAGTTTAGAAGTACATTCTTTAACTTTGTTGCTCTCTATTTGCATGGCATGGTGTATGATTACACAAAATGTCTCTAGTCCCTACTGCCCTCAAAAATGAAGGAGATCTGAAAACCCAACTGCCTGGAACGAGTTATAGATTCACTGAATTTGTTTCCTATATATGATTAACAGCAAGTATTTTAACCAAAACCCAACTTCCAGCCTTGGACAAGTTAAGATGAATTTTAAGACCTGGTCACCCTGAAGAGAGGACGACATCATTTGTGGTCTCAAATAATTTGTAGCTTGCTCAGTGTCACACACAAGTTCTACATCATGAGCTCTGCCCAGGCTCTCTGGGGCATTCACCTGGCATAACAAAGAGACCGTGCTTCGTTAAACAC